TAAACACATCCCTAATTAACTAAAATAGTTCTTTATCAAAACATGTAACAAGTTACTGCAAGAATAGATGAGAGAAAGGGTTGACTTGCATAAAAATGACTGACAGGCCAGAATCATCGACAGGTGAGAGTTTATCATGCTTCAAGCAGATTGACTTCGAGCATGGTGCTGATTTTGGAAAGGGCATTTCGCAATCTCTGTATTTGGACCAATAGTCCACATGAATCAATTTGAAAACAGTGATATTACTTACACCTATGGGGTAAATACTACATCTTTACTATGTTGTCATTGCAATACCTAAAGAACAGGTACGACAAATGTATATTGGACGCATATTAATTTCAAGCATTGCACAACCTAATTGACTAAACTTGTGATTTTTCCCCTCCCTATCATGTGTATTTGTGTCTAAATACTCCAAAACAACAACAACAACAATGTTGCCATCACTAGCCGGCTACCACCCGGTTACTCAACCCTGCACCTTAGAGGCTGCTGCCCTATGTACATAGACGTGGAATCATTGGTCACTTTAATAATGGAACACTAGTCACTTTAATAATATTTACATACTGTTTTACTCATTTTATATGTATATACTGTATTCTACTGTATTTTAGTCAATGCCACTCCGACATTGCTCAACCTAATATTTATATATTTCTTAATTCCATTATTTTACTTTAGATTTGTGTGTATTGTTGTGAATTGTTAGATACTAGTGCACTGTTGGAGCTACGAACACAAGCATTTCACTACACCTGCAATAACATCTGCTAAATATGTGTATGTGACCAATACAATTTGATTTGATTTGATTTGATTCGACGTACTCCATTCTAAGGTGGTGCCATGAAGTCTGATCCCATTTATCATTTACAATCTGCAAATAAAGATGGAAGCAAAAATTCAACACGGGAACCCCATAATAAATTCTGAGAAAGTCTAAGAAGTTTGACTTAATAAACATACAAACAATATACATTACATTGATCCAGTGAGCTATAGCTTTAGTCTCTATAGGTATTATTAACTTATATCCAGTCTTTTGTTTTTCTGACTGTACAGATCACCTAGGGAAAGGACAGTGTGTATCGAGTGAGAGAAAACACTACTTGATAGTTTGTGGGCATTACTTATACCAACAAAATTGCTGGTTTTGTCCAACATAGATAACATTAATTATAAACATTGATAAATAGATAAACATGATTCATTGACTCATCTCTCGAAACAAAAACAGTTATTTTCTCAAAGATTATTACTTAAAACAACAATGTCTATGTCTATACTCTAGCAAACACACCATTAATCAACAGTAGAGCATTTGGACAATGGACCTTTGTATTTAACAGGCTCAAACTACTTAGTATCCCTACAGTCTACACTGACTGGAAACAAACAGAGAGAGACAGTATGGGATTTTGGAGCCTGTTTAGACAAATATATAACTTTTTGCTTGTGATATACATTACCACTGTAGATATGAAAACATTGACAACACCGCCTCATCAATCAGTTGTGTCAGGTATGCATTTTTATTGACACTTGTGAGTCCCTGAGAGCCCTAACCCTGTAAAACTTGATATAGTGTATTGACCGTTCTCTCAGGGTTGCTTAGCTAATTAAGCCTGGAGGCCACAAAGAATGAAAGGGTGCCGCTATGTCAACAATGCTTCCTATTTGGTGACACCTTACACTAAATTGAAATGTGCTGCTAATAGGGGTGAGTGTTTAAAGAAGAATAAGCATGTAATCGGCACAGGCCTGACCTCACACACACAAAGAAGACTATAGACCTATGTGTCCTTTTAAGTGAACAGCATGTTCAGGCTAAGATGACTGAAGGGAAGAGTTCGCCATAGCTTAGTAATCATAGGCCTATAGTTTGATCAATGCTAAATTGTAATTAGGCCTATTGTGTCAGCGGTTATCTCATTAGTTAGTCCAGCTAATATCAATAAATATTGACACCTTACAATACACAACCTATGCTGCCCTCCCCTAATTAGTCATAGAGATACACAGGATAGCTTGGGGACAGTTTCCCTGCTCTGGCATAGCAGCTGACAATAGACAGCACACAGGGTGTCACTCCATTGAGAATAACTAAGCTACACTCACACATAAAGTCTGGGGAACTGGACAGTGGAACTGCAAACTGGTTATCCCTAATAATTGCATTCAAATGTTAAAGATTAACTTCATAAATATAACACAAGGAAACTAGTTTACAAACTGAAAATGAGGATAACCCTACACTGTTACTGAAAACTGTAATTTATACAGTAATTTGAGGTATTATCAACAGTAAAATTATTTGAAACGTTTTACTGCAGCATACTGTAGATGATGGTGCATTGTGGGAATATTGCTTGATTTCGAACCCCACAGAATACAATACCGTACCTTATGTTTAGAGCGTCAAAAACCTATTGACCACTAGTGGGTGCATGATATTGTTGTTTTTGGCTCATTAACATATTTTGAGGCATGCCTTGTAAGAGGCTATATTTGTTGCACCAATTTAACTCCTATGTGGTTATAGTGCAGCATCAATTAAAATGTATAGGGGACAGGATGTGGCAGCAAGTCTTTAAATGTTTTAACATTTTGCCATGACCTTTTGGTCTGTTTTGCCCTATAGTTGTTGCCAGTTTGGAACCTTTGTTTAAGCCTCTAGAAGTGCAAGTGATATAAAACACAAAATATTCAATAATATGCTGTAATGTGTAAACACTTTACCTAGCAGCCAACCTGCTTGCACCAATCCCTTTCCAAACCGCATTCCGATTACAGCAGCATTTACTTTTTTACAGTATAATACAGTCAATTTTACGGTATTGTACTGTGTGTCATTGCACAGTACTTGCTTTGATACCGTATTTATATTACAGCAGGTGTACTGTAATATAAAATACAGAATTGTACATTCCACTGAGCTGCCTATAAGTTACTGTCAAATTCATGGCAATCCCTTTACAGTGTAGAAACATCAACTCTCCTGTCACCGGGATCTGGAAAGACTTGGGTATGGGGGGCAATCAGACATGCAGTACAGTATGCCTCATGCAACTAACTACCCATGCACTCATACCATCAAATAGTCTACTCAAAGGACCATGTCACCAGCCTCTAGTCATCTTAGATTGCCCAGTCAAATTGACAGTATAAATAGGTGTTTCCCACTAACAATCGTTTTGTTAAAGGATAAAGCACTTTCATGAAATAATGGGTAGCACTAGTTCAAAATCATAGCTCAAAAGATTGACAAGTCCCTATAGTTCAACCTTGTAGGCCTATGATTGGATGGGAAGTTACTTGGTCAATGTTTGGTCAATATGGCTGACCACTGCCACTCCCTGTGTAGTTTACTTGTAAATTAATCCTTAAATATGTGGCTGGTGCAGCTGTCCAGACTTGCGCGTAATGTGCATAATGTCCCTTGAATGACCAGATAAAACCAGCCCGTCTCGATATGTGATCCGATATCACCACCATATTATCACCACCAACAATGTTTTTAGTGGGTTGTATTTTCGAAATATCATTATATCAGACTACACATTGTTATACTAGGTAGTGTGCGTGTGTGTGCGTGTGTGCGTGTGAGAGAGAGCGAGAGCGAGAGAGAGAGAGAGATAGTTTTATTCCCCGCTTTATTCATGTTAACCTGCCCTAAAGTGTGTAAAACAATATTATCCACAGACATAACCACACACTACATGCGCCATGCAATCAGCACACCGAATCACCCTGTCGCTTCACATTCAAGGTTAAATTAATACTGCAATTCGGAGAAAATGTCGACTGATGCTTAATGATGTCAAAATTGGCTATCAAACGCATCACTGTAGGCTAATGATTGTTACAAAGGCTGGTCGATGTGACAGATTAAATCAACAAGAACGATGATATGCAATAATAAAGTGTCAGCAAACATTAACATGATCATGTCTGTAACCTATTGTCATATTATTAACATTGTATAGCCTATATTAACTGGACATTGGGTCGTCGCGCGACAACCGGTCAAAATTCACTATAATTTTTCACGAATATGGTGCTGATAATGGTAGCTTGGCATGTTGCTCAAACATTCCTTTCCGGTGTTGTAGACCGCTACAACGAAGGACAGCGAACAACGGACGATTTCTGTTCATCAAATCAATTCCAAATTATCAAATCAGTGACGATAGATTGTGTATATTAATTCGTCCATATAGCCTACATAGAGTGTCCACGACTTCACACAAACATTTGTCAGTCAATATTTTGTTGACGCGGCCAGACCTGCGGCTCTGACTGCACACGAGACCGTAATTTCTTAAGGACAAAGCATCTGAGACTCTGGCTACTTTTCCTTCGCAGGGTCCCACAGACCGACCGATCGCACTAGTTCTAATGATGTTGACATATTCACATAATATTGACTGAGGCAGTGGTTTTTCACGGCAGCATTTGAGTTTCCAAACACCTTTTTATAAGTCTGAAGTCTGTCCCCTCCACCGACCTGTTAAAACCACGCCTACGAAGCCACACAATTGGTCCGAAAGCGTGAAAGAGCCAATCAACAGAGCCCAGCTTCTCGTAACATGCAACACATCCATACAGTTTGAAGCCTATGGGCCACAGAAGCGCTAGGAATATCTTGGTGCTGGGACCTTACCACTTCTCTGCAGTCAAACGACTCCTTTCTCCGCAAACGTCTTTACTGAAATGTGTGTGTGTGTGAAAGAGAGAGGAAGAAAGAGTGTGCGTGCGTGTGAGGGTGCATGTCTGGAACAAGTAAAGACAGAGGAATTATTCCGCGCTATCGAAATATTTCAACACATTGCTTTTGCAGGAGGACTGAAGCCAATGAAAGCGAATGCATTTTAACAGGAATGTCGATATTGTAGCCTAGACAACAGCAAGAAAAGATTGCAGCAGTCAATTAAAACTTAGTTACTCATCCTTTTTGGTTTAATTCCTAAATTGTTCGCAAGGCAACGCATAGAAAAGTGCTCAACGCCCGTCAATTTCGGAAGATTAATGGAGTGCATTTCTTCATTTCTCATTGCAGACACTCTGTTGGAACTCATAGAAAGACAGTAAAGAAAAGTAATACAAACCAGCAGAACAAAAGTGGATGCTTATTTCTACAGTGGTGAGAGTGGACTTCTCAAGACTTCTCAACTTGAGACAGTTTTGCTCGTCAAGAAGGCTGCATAGACTGACTATAATATTCAACTAAATAAATCAATATATTTGGTACCTTCCTGGACTTGGATGAGCTTCCTGATGAGAGATCCAGTCATACAAGGAACGAGTATGGCATACCATCCGTTTTTACCTCACCGGGGTCCGGAATTTGCCATGAGTGCAATGTTGGGTCACCATCCTCCATTTTTCCCGGCCCTGGCGCTACCTCACAACGGCTCCCTCTCGCTCCCGAGCGCCCTGGGGAAGCCTATCATGGACCAGCTGATGGGCGCCGCGGACTCCGGCCTCCACTTCTCCTCGCTGGGGCACCAGGCAGCCGCAGCCCATCTGAGGCCTCTGAAGACTCTGGAGCCTGAAGAAGAGGTCGAAGATGACCCAAAAGTTCACCTGGAAGCGAAGGAACTTTGGGAAACTTTCCACAAGCGAGGCACTGAAATGGTTATCACGAAATCCGGAAGGTGAGCGCAACTTTTATGTATTCGAATATGGCATATTTGTGTTCTGCAGTCGAAATACATCAGTCTACATCTTGTTATTATGAAGATCATTCTGATCATCAATACGCTGGCATTCCTCTCGAGTGAATTGATTTATTGATGGGTGCTTGGAACTGGACCTCCGCGAATGGTGGCCAACATTTTGATTTCAAACTAGGGTCATTTCTCGTGGTTACAGGCTGGCTATGTGTGTAAATCAGTTGAATAGAATAGCCTAACTTTGTCCTATCGACAGAATCTGTATGGCCAGATTGCATGGTCATGTAATCTCAACACGAGATAAAATAAAACCCAACCCAAACTATAAAATATACAACACATAAGGCTGTAACACTTTAACTTCTAATGACACAATAAAACTGTGAGCAATTCTAAAATGTAGGCTACAAAACAATTTATCGAAGTTTGTAGACGTAAAGTCAGCCCACAATATTAGCCTATAAAACGGAAACATGCAGGCCTAGGCCTAGATGTTATTATAAAAAAGTGTAATAACAAATGTTATTAACACAACAAACGAATAGAATGCGGTACAAATACAGTTACACATTGCATGCTGTACATATTATGCGTTTTTAAATTATTTGTAGGCGGCAGATATTTGTGGGTGTTTTGTTTTCTCGCACAGGACTCTGTTAGATTAATAATTTCTGCATGGACTAAATCGTATGGCTGACGCATATACGTATAGGCCTACAACTAAATGTAAAATGTGTAATAATTTAGTATTCGCAGTGTTACATTTTCATTATCATAATCAGTATACTAGCAATGTAAAGATGGCTGCTCCATATGTGTGTATGAACATAGGCTAACAATATTCAGTCACTGTGTAAGGTAGGCCAGTCCACTGTTTTTAAGTGATTTTCTTATTCCATTTCACAGGCGAATGTTCCCTCCGTTCAAAGTGAGATGCACTGGCTTGGACAAGAAAGCAAAGTACATTCTGTTGATGGATATTGTTGCAGCCGATGACTGCAGGTATAAATTTCACAACTCGCGTTGGATGGTGGCAGGGAAGGCCGACCCCGAAATGCCAAAGAGGATGTACATTCACCCGGACAGTCCAGCTACTGGCGAGCAGTGGATGTCAAAAGTCGTCAATTTTCACAAACTCAAGCTGACGAATAACATATCCGACAAGCATGGATTTGTAAGTTCATCTAATGTATGTTTATTTTCTTATTTGCATGCTTATCGACATTTTTGGCATGTATTATAGTTATCATGATTGTTATTAGTATTATCAGAGGTATTATTAGTAGTTGCCTAATATTAATAAGCCCATTAACGTTGCATCTCTGTGGCCATATGGAGCCGAGGGCTGAAAAGGCTTCACCAAAATATGCAGGCCTAATTTCAATTGAATAGGTTTGTGTCCATAATGAATTAGGTTTTAATATTTTCACTGCAACATGTTTCCCAAACTTTTATATATAATGTCAAGCAATGTGGTAATCTACTGCTCAGGCCTATATACATGTATTGAACATTTTTGGTAAATGCATTGTTGGTGAGAGAAATTCAGGAGAATATTCTAATACAGCCATTGCGTCAAGTAGGCTAGGCCTGAACTACGATTGAGTAGGCTACATCAAATGGCTAATCTTCATCAAAAGACAGAAATCAGTGTGTGCTTATCTTTTTTTAAATCCAGAATTCTTTCCTGTTCCAGACCATCCTGAACTCCATGCACAAATATCAGCCCAGATTTCACATCGTGAGAGCCAACGACATTCTCAAACTCCCATATAGCACGTTCAGGACTTACGTTTTCCCTGAAACGGATTTCATTGCCGTAACTGCTTATCAAAATGACAAGGTAGGCAGAATCACATTTTATTCGTTTATTTTCATGAAATAGTTGTATATTTATTTTGCATCCATTTTTTATCAAATAGTTTATATAGCCAATGCTAGCACTGCGCCATTTGCCGTCATAAAATATGAAAGATGTCATATTTATTTAATCTTGTTTGAGTGTTGGGCCTACAAGCTATCGTGTTAGATACATGTAAACGTCATCTCATGCCGTGTTTCCTACTAAAGCAAATGGGTCAGAATTCTCAGGAATGTATGTAATACATAATACTTCATTATATTTAATCACATGGAAAGGATTTGGCAACGACCCAGACTGTGTGTGTGTGTGTGTGTGTGTGTGTTTGCGAGACAGTGAGAGAGGCAAGGGGGAGGGGGAGTGTGAGAAAGAGAAAGAGAGGGGGAACAGAATGTGCAGTTACTCAGAGAAAATAGCATTTTGATTTTAACAGGCTGCGCTGGTGGTAACATTTAATTCCACATGTGATACACCGCTAATCAAAATCATCTCTCATGTTGGCTCTTTGATATAAGGGAGAAATGTTAGCTAAGTGTTACCTCTGGGCACTTGGGTCAAGCAAAAATGCAGTTAATGTTTGGCAGCCACATGAGTTGAGGAATATTGTCAATCCTGCCAAAATGTGCACGTGGGAGGGGTAGAAGGCGAGAGGAAGTGAGTGGGGGGGAAATAATGTCCTCTAAGAGGTTGCCATTCAGTATGCATTGCAGATGGGTGTGTGTGGGTGTGTGTGTGTGTGTGTGTGTGTGTGTGTGTGTGTGTGTGTGTGTGTGTGTATGGGTGGGTGGGTGGGTGGGTGGGTGTGTGTATGGATGGGTGGGTGTGTGTGTGTGTGTGTGTGTGTGTGTATGGGTGTGTGGGTGTGTGTGTGTAAATTAAAAATGGTCTCTTATAGCATCAGACCGTTAGCTCGTCACTAGTTTGAGAATCAATTATCAACGAATTTCCAACCATTCAGATGGTGGCTCAATTATGCAATTTTTACAAAAATATTGCACTGAGATGCGGCAACAATTAGGCTTTCTATGATTTGAAGGTTAACTGTTGAACTATGAGAATAGAAATCGAGGATAAATGTTACTCAATTTACTTCCCCGAAAACTTTCCCACCTCTACGAACATTTATATTTCTTTCAGATTACACAATTGAAAATCGACCATAATCCTTTTGCCAAAGGATTCCGTGACACTGGCAATGGCAGACGAGAGAAAAGGTAAGGAGAAGTAGTAAACTATTCCCTAACTGCGCAACTAACATTTTACGATTTCTGTTGTCTGATTTTATAGACACGAAGGCTGACAGTGATTTTAGTGAATTCCAAAATGCGGTACGACTGTCCAGGGGAATAATTTTATGACAACCCCTTCAATCTAAAATGATACTATGTAGTTCACGTTTTATTAATGAGTTGGCTGGCAGAGGTAATAGACATAGCTTATCATGTTGTATTTACACTGTTATGGTTCTCCGAGTGCAGAGATCGAAAGAGCAAAATACAATTTTGAAACGCCCACTCTAGAAATAGTGTGGAGTTATTGATAGTTAACTCTTCAAAAGCTTTTCTTGACCTCTTTGACAACAGTATACAAGAAAATGGTTTGGGCTGTGGGTTATTAGTTGTGCAGTGGGTTTGAATAGATTGATTTCTTCGAACAGACATATGTTGATTGATAAAATGTTTCTGGATAATCTGCACTCAAAATGAATTGCAGGCCTGTGAATTTGCCTAAACGCAAAGACTGTACATGGCAATCCGTGTCCTAAGCCTTGAATAAATTATCCGTTGTCTTATAGATCGTTTTTTACAAAATAATAGTAGTGATGACCAATAACCTGTGTGCCTAATGTAGGAAACAGCTGGCCCTGCAGTCAATTCGCTCATACGAGGAGCAGCAGAAAAAGGAGAACGGGACGTCGGACGACTCCTCCGGCGAGCAGGCCTCATTAAAGTGTTTCGGCCAGGCCTCGTCTCCCGCAGTGTCTACCGTGGGGCCTCCCAACCTGAAAGGTAATGGAGCCCACCGCCTCTGCTTGGGTTAAGATTCAGAACTAGGCCTACACTTTCCGCACCTCACAGACCCACGTAAAATAGACACCTACAGTAGCCTATGCTTGTAAAAAAAAAAATAGTGGGAGGTGAAATATTTTCCAATGAGTAGGCCTATGCAACATTTTGGATTTAGTTTGAATTCAGTTGAATGTCTTTGGATATCAGTAGGCTTACTGTGTTGAATAATTGCACGACAAATTATATAATTTTATCCAACACCAACAATAACATACAAACTATGTAGCCTAACTTTTATGTAGGCTCATTCTTGTAATTCACATTCACACGATGGGTCTCTCGTGCTAAGAATTTAGCAATGAAATTAATCATACATCTGCCAGAATTATATACTGGATATAGTTTTATTTTTATAAAATAAAATAAACTTTCGAGATGTAGGCCTAGTCACGAATGTCAGTTATCTGAATGACAAAAATCGTTAGAATTGTGAAAACACACCATCGGTTAAAATGAGGCCAATTTGAAGGACATGATCATATGCTAAAGGTTAATTTAAAAATGAAAATAAATCAGTATCCTATGGATTTCAATGTAGCCCAATACATTATGGAATAAGTATTAGGCACTAGCCTACGTAGCCTATAGCATTAGGCCTACCTAGCACGATTAGCCGGACAGTGTCCTACAGATAATTACATTTACATTTTAGTCATTTAGCAGACGCTCTTATCCAGAGCGATTTACAGTCAGTGAGTGCGTACATTTTCATACTGGCCCCCCGTGGGAAACGAACCCACAACCCTGGCGTTGCAAGCGCCATGCTCTACCAACTGAGCTACAATTACAGCTCATTACAGCTCATTACAGCGCAAACTATGATCCTCCAAAAGAACATGGATTAAAAACGAGGCATATTTGTTTATATGAGATATCATTTTGACCTATACTGATTATATATCTTGTTGTAAATTATTGTTATTTTATTTTATTTTATTAATATGGCATCGAAAGTCAGGAAGAAATTAAATAAAGTAGGCTATATGAGAATGTAGGCTATCTGAAGAATAAAACTCAAAACTAAATTAATCCTGATTAACTTTGATCATCATTTATCATGTATCACTAACTTTTGACTCATTCCTGATAGATTTCTGCGAGAGTGATGAAGACAGCGACGATGAAAGCAATGGCAACCTAAAGGATGGGCCGGACTCCAGTAAGATCTCAACCACCACGGAGGATGGGAAGGATCATGAGGCAAGCCTGACTAAAGGCCATCAATTTAGTGGCAGTGATTCTACCGGCCGGTCTCGGGAAAGCGCCCCGAGGACTGAGAAGAGCCAAGCGGACTCACGACAGAGCCCCATCACCGTGATCTCCAGCACCACTCGGTCTGGAGAAGACTTCAAGAGTCCAAGCCGGGACCAGCCCAAAGCGGACGAGTGCAGGTCTATAAGCAAGGAGAGCTACATGCCTTTGACTGTTCAAACTGACAGCAGTCCGCACTTAAGCCAGAGTCACATGCATAATTTTGGATTTCAACCGGGTTTCGCGGGACAGCAGTTTTTCAATCACTTAGGGGGCGCGCATCCCTTTCTTTTGCACCCCAGTCAGTTCAACATGGGAGGCGCGTTCTCGAATATGGCCGCGGGCATGGGTCCCTTACTGGCAGCCGTGTCCTCCGGAGGGGTTAGTACCATGGACACGGCCAGTATGGCGTCACCTTCGCAAAGCCTGACGGGAGCTCATGGACTGCCTTTTCATCTGCAGCAACATGTCTTGGCATCACAGGTAAAACCTGTTTTATTACCACCAGCAGTACAGTAATGCCTGTGTAAAACACATGTTATGTGCTCCAGAGTTTTTCGTTAAATTTTGACGAATATACTGGACAATGTAGCCTATGTCATCTTAGGTGTCCTTGTCCCCATTACTTTATGTGTAAATGTCAACATGGTGTAGAAGAAAAATAGTATAATTTCCACTTCGTTTTAATAGCCTAGTTTATTCGTTATAGTGATAAACATCACAACAGGGGCGAGCATAGCCTATTGTAGAAAATTGTGTTATAGCCTAAATAATAACCAAATGTGTTTTATAGGGACTCAAGTTTATTTGGATTTTAGGAAGGTGTGGATATTATTTGTCTCAATTGTTTACAGCATATGTTGGGATTTAGGCAGAGACCACCTAAGCATTACAACAATAGTTTTAGGCTAGTGTTGATGTGAACTCATTAATTAAGTATGTGTTTTAGAGGAACATGGCGAATGAGATGTGCTTAGTGCTTCACTGGTTCGGGGAGGGAAAACAACTTCTCCTAAATACATAACAGATTTGCTGTTTCCATCTACTTTCAAAACACATGTGTTGCAGAAATAGTTCCTTTTAAATTGCTATTTTATGTAGGCCTAGTTAATGAGCAGCATCATATATAAAGAATGTTTATTTGCATCAACAATACATGAACTATTTGCAAAGCTACATAAAACACGATATCACATAGTGGTGGGTCTAGATATCACGTAACACACAAAAAAACTAAATATTTTGTCAATTTGATTCTCGGAAGGTTTTCATCGTTTTACGCGTCGATAGCTTTATATATTGCATATTTTCAGGCTAAATTCAAGAAAATGTATTGGTAATCAGTTTACACCCCTCTATGTCAACACCACCGTTGTATAAAATCAGTATAAAGTCAGTACGCATGGCCACAGAAAAGCATAATCATGAAAATCGCTTTATGAGAAAAGTGAAAGTAGGCCTACACAGCCTTCAAAACATTTCCCGTGAAGCTCATGTGTCTGGATTCATTATTCACACTCACTCACTACATGACCTCATTTCAAGATATAGGCCTACATAGACAGTGGTCAAGTACATTGTGAACAATTTAAGTGTAGCCAATTTTCTCTGTTTTGCTGTGTTATTATGGTGAGTAAAAGCTAGCGTCTGTTAAATGACTATTGTGCATAGTTCTCTTCATATCCTTCCCCTCCTCTCTCCCCAGGGCCTGGCCATGTCTCCATTTGGGGGCCTGTTCCCTTACCCATACACGTACATGGCAGCAGCCGCGGCAGCCTCCTCCGCAGCCGCCTCCTCTGTCCACCGACACCCTTTCCTGAACGCAGTGCGCCCCCGCCTCAGGTACAGCCCTTACTCCATCCCTATGAGCGTTCCGGACAGCACTCTGCTCACCACAGCCATCCCCTCCATGGCGAGCAGCGCCGCCGAGATGAAAGGGGACGGCATTGCGACGAGCCCCGTCTCCGCCACCCTGGACTCCACCTCGGAGGTCACCAGCCGGTCGTCCACCATATCGTCCGGCTCGGTCTCCCTGTCCCCAAAAACTTGCTCTGGGAAAGATTCCATTAACGAGTTGCAGAGCATTCAGCGTTTAGTCAGCGGACTTGATTCCATACAGGACAGGTCACGAAGCGTGTCCCCATAGATTCTAATGTTGTTGTTGTTGTTGTTGTTGTGATGATCATAAAAGGACGATGAGGATGAGTACGACGACACCCTTCTAGCGAATGCGGGTTTAGAAAACTGACCTATTGAACAGTTTAGATTTTGAAATGCACTTTGGTTAAATACACATCTCATATGTATATTTCTCTTTTGTTAAATTAAACAACACTTTTGAATTTTTCCTGTTATTTGAATACCATACAAGTATTGAAACTGAAAGGTTGGCATGGATAATACTCACAGATCTATGATAAATTGCTGCTGTGTGATGTCCTACGTATACGTTTGTTTTATGTCTAGTTACTGAGGTAACGAAATTTGTTTGATTTAATGTGCACTCTGAATTGGTTATAATTATTTGAATTCACTTCCCTTTATCTTATAAAGACTGCTGTGTTTGATGTATTAACTGCATACCTATTTGAAGCATATCATTATGCTTATGGAGGTAGGTGACACTTTGCATGCCCTACAAAACGCTACATGTCTCTTTTATGACTGTCTGTTTGTTGTTATGATTTATTTTCACGACCAAATTCAAATGATACGAATAAGGATAAAGAAATGCTTCAGGCTGATCTTAAAACCAATCTGGAGGAAAAAACGTTTCAATCCCTCCCTTTTTTTCTAAGGAATCAATCAATTGGTCTTCGGTTATTGGTTTTACAAACGAATTTCTCTGTAGGCCTATGTCAATTTATAAACGCAGGATTATCCTACGGAAATCCATTTACTGGCACTTGTTTGAAGTAGGCCAAAACAGAACCGAGGTTATAAGCTTCATGTGCGAGTGGTTGAGACTGTCCTAAAATCGCATGCCGAATCCAACATAAGTATTCAACTGGCAAAGGGAATCTGAAATACAATTGAAAAGGTAATATTGATTATAAATGTAAATAGTGATATATACAAATATTTATGTAATTATTTCATATTGATATTGATATTGCGTGTAAATACAACGGAGTAGTTTGATTTTAGGGATCTGTCCTTAATTTATTGTCGATACCTGTATAAAGATAGTTCGTGGTCTTTTATCCTTGTTTTGCCATCTGCATTGTATATCGCCCTGAATACGGATTTACCTGTACCCCAAATATCCACAGAGCTAGTTATTTTAGCGGACACACTCATGTGCCATTGTACCTTTAGCCTACCTGTTGTCTCTGTGTGTTAAGTGTTACTGTCCCGACGAATGACAGCGAGAGCACACTGCACCAACAGCTTTCTGAAAAGAAATAAACATTCGTCTAGGTGTGTGTCAAAATGGACGAATTTTCTGTTTAAAAATACATTGCAGCCTGATAGTAAAAGTGCTGCATCTTATTGAAATATGAAGGTTCCTTTTGTGTTTATAAAGTTGTCATTGGGTTATGTTGTATTCGATTTTTGTCTAGTTTACAACATCAACGATGTGTTCTTGAAAGTGTCAATAAAATATTAAAATGCAGTCTCCATACGTTTCCATGTGTCAGTTTCTTTAGGCCTACATTAGATTATTTATACTATGATGTAAACTATATGGATAAATACTATGTGATGTAATTGCTCCAACCACATTTGTGTTGATACTTCTCTATCATGCAGTCTGGCATAGCCAGTCTTTCTCTTTCCACACTTTGTCCACTTTAGCATTTGGGGATAGAGGCGTCGAGACAATGATCAAAGAGTTGAGAAATGTTATTAAGATAACCTGAGAGAAGGCAATGGGATCCTCTCAACCTCAGCTATGATACCTGGAATTCCTTCCTGGACGCAAGACCGCGCCAGAGTGAGTCATTGTGCGCGTGTGTTTTATGGGCCTGCTGAGAAGCCTATTGACTAATTGTTTATTTCGGCCAACGTGAACCCTAAAGAATGTAAAATAACTTGATTGTGCTCTCCATTGCGACTAGAGTCATGAGTTTATTAACTTCATATCTTTATTTGTAAATTGTATGGTTAATAAGTAACGACTATGGCGCTAGGGAATAGGAGTAAACATGACACTAAGTATCTCAATTGCTCAGTCTATTGCTCACCTGGCGCCTTCGATATCTTACACGACTTTATTGCACGGAAGGCGGCATTGCGTCTGCAATAGGCTAATGTTGAACAGGATTCTCACGTTGATATGCCAGACGTAACGCCACCTAGTGAACACTACACAAACTACACAACTACATGACAAAGCACTGCAGAATTATTACTTTGAACAGGGTCAGTGCTATCGGGGATCCATGGGACGTCCAAAGTCTAAACCCTAAACCTAACCTCAACCCCTACCCTTAACCTAACGTTAACCCTTACCTAACCCTAACCTTGACCCTTACCTTAAACATTTTAAACTTTAACTTCAATGGGGGGTAGGGATGTCCCAAGGATCCCGGATAGCACGGACCTTTTGAATACTGTGGACTATGACCTGATGAAGCCTACCTTGGTGTGCGGTGACGATATTATTCAACCAGATTTGGAACATTGGAGTAGAGAATAGTTTACAGCAACATTTTTGCCAACTGAGATTAACCAAACCTTTGCTAGATGTGCGGTTTTCTTGAAATGGAGAGAGAGTTGGCACAGCCAAAACAACCAAAACAAATACAACACAATAGGCCTACAAGAATGGAGAATTAGCAGATGAATGTAATTACAGTGTGTTTATAGTAATCATATATAATATCAAATCTGTCACACTCAATGCTTTGTTTATGCCTTTGACGGTAGAAAATTAGAGGTGAGAAAGAATGTAGGCCTACTGCGCTTTTTACGCATGGTTCATGTTTTATTTGCCATGAATTTAGAAGCCTCTAAACACCTAATGAATGATAAGCCTACCTCGACTCGTTTCATTGTCCAATATTGGTCATAAACTGAATCGATTGCAGTGTTAGGTTCTACATTTGGATTTTGGACCTATATTTCGAGTTATCGGACAAGGGTGAAAGCCTCTAGGAGGTGCATTTCGTTATATAGGCCACAAAATTATATAGGCAACAACTGCAGTATCCACCCCGACTTAACCCTCTTTTTCTCATTCCCTCTCACGTTCTCTCTCTCTCTCTCTCTCTCTCTCTCTCTCTCTCTCTCTCTCTCTCTCTCTCTCTCTCTCTCTCTCTCTCTCTCTCTCTCTCTCACACACAAACACACACACACACACATACAAAGAGTAATAGGTATTTATATTATCAATATTAGGCGCATGCAGTGTAGTGCAAATAATAGCATAATCTTCCACAGCAAAACACAAGTGTGCCAAACATCTATCCATGTGGATCCATTGTATTTATTCGAGGCAATTGACCTGGGATATCACTTTCAATTCTCTGCGAATGGGGTCAGACCTTGGGAGAGTATCCTTTAGCCATCTCTGTTACATGCATTTAATATAATAACAGCTCCATTACTCATGCACCTGCCAGCTTGGGCGCAGTTCTCCCGTGTCCTTGTTAACACCATTTCCATCGCAGGGCTCATGCGACTTTGCTCCAATAAGCACCTGCTAGACGCGTTTAGCGCGCGGTACTGGTTGCTCACACTATAGCGCGTTTTAGAACAATGTCATTACAGTTAATTCATACATAGTACCCATATATTGTGTATGTTGTGCCTTGTCAGTATGTCTTATGATGTCTCTATTTCTTATTGTCATGTATGCTATGCCATATGGTGCAGGACAATAAAATATGAAATACTTTTCTATAGCTAGGCCTATGTGATATTGGTCAACGGGATTGAGATGTCCAGTGCCCCAGAGACCTACAAAATAACCAGGTGTTTCACAGGCCCACAGTCTGGTATTAGCTTCAGTCAGTGTAAACTTGGCTATAGTCCTCAGATTAGAGTTTGAGTGGGTAAAAAAGCATGCCACATTGTTATACCGCCACTCTGTGGCTATGCAATGAGACTTTGGTATTACAGAAAGTCAATGATTTACAAGTCAATTACGTGTTTTTATTCAAAAATGATTTATTCTCAATTAAAAAGTAATTAAAATCGAGTGAAAATATACAAATTACGTAAATTATTTATAGATGAACATATAGGCCTACATGTACTGATATAAGTTGCTATACAAATGTCATGACAGAACCACACATTTTGCATGGTGTCTGTCTCCCTCATCAGGTAGAACTGGGATTTCCCATAATACTGTGGCTTTATTTTGGTTCTGACTTCAGCATGCGCCACTGGATTGGCCTTTAGTAAACCACATACAACACGAACTAGTCATGGTCATCTTGTGCTCATGAGTAAATGTGTAACAGCTGGTATCACTGTCCTCAATGCATATCATTAAAGTTATTCAGCCTAACATTGATAGTTAGACCTACACAACTGCCATAAAAAGCCCTACAACATTAAACAATAAATCATTTTACATTTTAGTCATTTAGCAGACGCTCTTATCCAGAGCGACTTACAGGAGCAATTAGGGTTAAGTGCCTTGCTCAAGGGCACATCGACAGATTTTTCACCTAGTTGTCTCGGGGATTAGAACCAGCGACCTTTCGGTTACTGGCACAACGCTCTTAACCACTAAGCTACATGCCGCCGAATCACACTTTTTGTACTCAAAGATGACATTTGAGAACAGATTTTTACACTGTAATATATATTTTGAATGACACTTTTGTGGGTTTTTTTTGTGTTTGTACGAATGATAGCGGTATATTTTGCAATCTCAAGGAAGTTTATTTGAAGTTATGAATGTTTCTCTATACATTAAGTAAACCCAGCACAAACCACACTCGCACATATTATTGTTTCCAATGATTCCTTAAATGTTTACTGGTTGCCTGCCTGCCGTAAACGTAAACCATCTTTATGGCATTGCTGATTGATGATTCACACTTGCGCACAGAGACAAAAGCTTGCCATTCATTTTGTGTGATTCACCCACACGTCTGTCAACACACACATATGCGAGCACGCACAAGTACACACACTGGAGCTACAACACTACATTTGTGGCCAACATGAGAAACACAAACAGGTTCTCTCTCCCTCATGACAACAGCTGTTGAGGGATCATTTAGATACAATATATATCAATCATCACTAGTGACTCACCCATCCCAGTCCACTCAGCTACATTTGGCAGCACATCAAAATAGAACTTTCACTGATATAAACCAAGATAAGGAGAATGGAATTAACCCCTTAAGGCCTAGGGTCTAGAGGAAGTTGTGTTGTGTTTTCACATGTCTGACTCTTTCCACATGTAACTCCTTGTACCTTTTATACAGTATAGTTCACCATGCTATTTTTGCTTTGGCTGACAAAAAGGAAACCGTCAGAAAACATTGACTAAATTGATGAGAACCCAATTTACATTGATGTAGGTCAAAAAAAAATCGAGATTCATATTTGTTTGAGAACATACATTTTTGAACATTTTGAAGAAACATCATAAAACTGTTGTAAAGGAATCTTAATTTCAACTAATGTGTTCAACATTCACAAGAGAGGCCTTTTCCTGAAGCCTTAAGCCCTAAGGTGATAATTTGTGGGACACAGTCTTGACAAAGCAAACAAGGGTAAATAGTGATAAGCAATGTTCCCTCTAATTTATTTTGGGCACTGAGCAAATTTCAGGTCTTCTGAGCGCGAGTTTACTGTGAACACTGAGGCTGTTTGATCATAATGTAGGCCTACCAGAGTGGCCTACTATCAAAAACAATGGAGAAAATGCATCCCACAACATTTAAACATGGAAATAGCTGTCTATCATTCAGCCAACAGTAGCAGGCCTACATTCCATGAGACTTTTGGAGAAAAAAAAACATGCAGGGCTTGACATTAACCTGTTTATCCACTTGTCCTTCAGACAAGGAGGTGACTGAAAATGTTGTTGTGTTGTTGGATGCAAAAAAATCCATTATTATTCCCATACCATTATTACAGAGAATCAGACAAATTATGCTACCCTCTACCTATTGGCTACTTAGCATATTCAAGCCTGTCTCAAAATACAACACTGTCCCTTTAAGACAAGAAAGAAAGCTCTTCACCTGACTGGCTTTTCATAGATGTCTAGAAATGTATATCTTTTGTGCTCTTGTAGGAAGCAATCACTCCAGTATTGTTGACTACAAATGATCTATAACTGGGCTAACAACTCACTAACTAGCAAAGGATATGAACAAAATGTGCACATGTGGCTACATACAGTTCTCGCTTTGATCTCAAAACAACCGCATCTACTCACGACCGCTCATGCTGTAAACATAGTCCAGTTCAAAGTAAATGGCACAGATCCATATAATATAATATTGGTCAACGGGATTGAGATGTCCAGTGCCCCATTATGGCAATGGTCTATTTAAGCAACAAGGCATGAGGGGTGTGGTATATGGCCAATATACCACGGCTAAGGGCTGTTCTTACGCACGTCGCAACGCAGAGTGCCTGGATACAGCCCTTAACCGTGGTATATTGGCCACATACCACAAACTCCCGGAGGTGCCTTATTGCTAT